TCGCTTCCACGGCTTGGGCTTTTAACGTCCTCTCCCTTGGACGCTTTTGACAAGATTCGTCGACCTCTGCTTCCCTCTGTCTCTCTTTTTTCTTCTATAAATACGTATAAAACTATTTACCGTAATTTTTTTTTCTTTCTCATGTGCACACTTACTTACTTATATCCATTCGTCTCAATACCTCGCTTGTATAGGTTTACTCGTAGATTTACGGTGGACTGCCTTTTCCGTACTCTACGGATAATTTTTGGAAGATCCACACTTCACTTGATAAGATGTACACAAAAAATCCAATAGTCCAATACCAACACGCTAATGGTCCGGTGTGATTTGTACCCCTTCGGAGGAAGTCATTGTCTTTAATTACGGATGGAAACGCGACCAGCTGGAGCAGAGGTAGTCGTGCGTATACCTACTATACTTACGTGTTTGGTTTGCCGGTGCATATGATAACAAACCCGTGCTCGCCCACGTGGAATATAGAACAGAAGGAGGGGTAGGTCTCAGGAGCACGGGTAAATAACGAGAGCCAAGGGAGCACGTGGGAGCGCCGTGTGTTGTGCCACTGCTCCCCCTATATATACATGTACATGTTAGCTGCATGGCTGGCTGGCTGGAATTAGCTAACAAGATTCTATTCCCGTTTCCGATCTCGCCGCAAACTTGTGCCCCGTGCCCGTAATTGTTCCGCTGTAACTTCTGTTTGCCCGGATAAAACGGACCGGGAGATTGCTGCTGTCGCGTTGCGTGTGTATGGCTGGCTATCATATTAATTTTACGCTTGGTCTGACTCTTCCGGGTCTGCGCATTTATTTACTTTTTTTTTTTTTTTTTTTTTTTTTGGTGGAGTTGCCCGTGACAGTGAATGCTGCAAAACTATGCGCTTGTTTCATCCAATAACCGAAGAAAGGCGAAATTCAATCTTACTGGTCGAAAAATACTTACTTGTGGCATTCGATGCATCCCAAAGGTGCAAGAGATAGGAAGATGATTAAGTTTTCAGTCGAATTTCCTGTCAGTAACCTACTGCCCCATCTCCTCCCCCCATACCTTCTCCACAGTCTTATTGTACTGAAGGTGATGAACGTCTTATTGAGAAAATCTTATTGACTGTCTACTCTGATAGTAGAAAAAATTATGCGAGGCCGATGGCAAGTATTGTGGTCGATGAGTGACTAGGTCTGGCAAATGTCAGGATCGGTGGAAATTAAATTTTCAGCCAGTCCCCGGGAGGAGATACCTACTTCTTAAGCTGCAATTCAAATGGGCCTGTCAGGAATGAGGAGAAAAAAGTTTGCGGCTCCAGCGAAGGGGAAGAGAGGTTTTTCAATTCCACGTAGAAACTTTGCAAAACATATATACTTCGGTAGGGCGAGGAGAACAAAAGGGGGGTGGAGAGGGTGCGCGTGGCTGCATTTAGAGAGCGGCTGCCACTTAATTTCATCTTCCGCTTCCACGCCCTTTGCCTCTCGCGAGGCCCTCGGAACAATGAGGAGAGCGAAGGAAAATGCAAAGATGGGCCGGATATATAGGTGTCGATCGATTCGCCGAATGAAAACTCTGGGGTCGAAAGTCGGCGGCGCCGCTGCGTTTTCCGTGCTCCGGGAAAGAAAATATAGAGCATAGCACACCTTGCTCGCGCGGGGGATGCAAATTCGATTTGTTCCTCCCGCCGTCGTCCTCTAGTGTTTGCCGCTGAGAAAATCACCCAGAGGCTTGGGGAACGAGAACATTTTTATCCCGGCTCTTCGTTAAATGAGGGTAGCCGAGGGAACAGCAGCGTTTCTTCTTTTTTGGACAATTTTTTGATGCCTTCGTTCTATATACTCGCGTCTGTTGGTGAAGTATATTTTTTTTGATCTTTAAATTTGAAATAGTGATAAGTATACAACTTTTTCAAAATGGTGCATATACACTGTAAAATAGTGAATATACACTATTTTAGCAGTGAAACGGACGATTTCACTATTTCAAAGTTGTATACTTACAACTTATTTGAACTAGTGAATATTCACTGTAAAATAGTGGTTTTTACTACGAAATAGTGATTATTCACTATTTCTACCAAGTTAAACTTTCACTATTCAAATTAGTTGATTATCTTGTTGTTGGTATCACTTAAAATAATGTGTGTGGGTTGTACAATTATTTTTATTTGAATCAAGATTGCTAGTTTGATTATAAATGAATAATTAGAATTCAAATTATATCGTCTGGGTGTAAAATAAGCAACCCTGATTTTTCACTATTTTGCCAGTGAAAATGTTGTTCACTTTTGCAAACAGTAAAATTTTCAACATCATACAGTAATTGATCGTACCCTTAAATTTTAGTAACTTTTAAATGTGCTTTGAATAAATCATAATCCATCATAATCCATCAGTCATTAAACTAGTATGTAGGTATACTCAGATAATAAATTGTCGCCTGTAATTATAAATAGAACGTATACCTCTGGAAAAGTTTATCTTTGTAGTACATTAAAATCAGTGCAGATAATGAGATAATGTGTATGATTCACTCGGTGTATAATAACAATTATAAGGATAATAATAATAATGATAATAATATTAATACTAATAATAATAATAACAATAGTTATTTGAAAAGTCACAAAATCAATGACATGTGCAATCTTTCAAGAGGTTTCATTAAGATAAGCGTAATGCGACGCGTTGAAAAATTGGGTGGTTTTGAATTTTGAATTCTCATTAGCCACGAAATAAGTATATTACATATAGTATGAAAGGATAATACCTTACATACAGGTATACTACTTAAACAGAAAACGGATGCTATTTGTTTTAAAGTATACAGGCATAATTACAAGGTAACTGTAACGTTACGTCCCTTTTTTGGTGCACCTGTATACATGGTGCAATCAGTCCCTGCAGCAAGTGCAGGACTGTCAGTTATTTATTCAGCAGCGGAAACTCGCTTTGAACACGATCTATCGCAATATTCCTACAAAGATTGCCCAACATCGATGCACTAAAACAAAAATCGTGCACGCGATCGCATTCGCCAGCCAACGCAGTAGATCCGTTCAAAGAATCGTCAGCCAATCCCTCTGCGTGCATCGGGGTAAATAAAAGTCCAAGCACCAGCAAAGGCCCGCTTTTGGAGCCGCGAATCGATGCGAGTGCACCACACAATCCTTTACTCGCACTCCCGCGTATAAATATTAGATTCGATAGCAAACGGGCGCTGGTCGATGGATAAGAGGGAATCGAGGTGCCTGCTTCAAAGGGCCGTCATATTTTTTCGCTGCGTTCTTGCAAAAGGAGAAAAATCGCAAAATCGGCCTGCACCTCTTCCTCCAAAATCGGAATGGTCTAGCAAAGCTTACACTCGCTTGGGAAATGCTTTGACAACCGTGTTTCTTTCGAATCACCGAGTTAAATTTGTCACCTGCGATCGTCACACGGTCATCCTTTTCCTCGACGACACGAGCTCCGTGTTCACATAAACGAGAATGTTCCGAGAGTACGAATGGACCCGCAAAAAAAAACGTAAACTCTGTAATCCCGGTATCTCTTGACAAGAGTACATCGAGAGAGGGAAAAAAAAGAGATCCTGTTAAGTAAGCCCTCCTTCCAATGAGCTACAAAAAAAGTGATCAAACGGAACCTCCAAAGAGCCGGGCTCGCTGGAAGGAGATCAGTGCGGAAGTCCAAAGCCGTTACGGCCTCGGCAAGGCGGACCGTGCGCTTGATGGATAAGAGTTAATTTCCGCCGTGCCCTTCGTCGTTCACCAGTGTCCTCCCACCGCGGCTACGTAAGCGGGGAGGCGCTCAGTTTTTAACCTCGTAAATTTGAACGGCCGAGCAAACAATCTCTCGTCACGGCTCCGTCGCCGGAGGAAACAACACACCATGTCCGTGTAAAAATGATTGAGTCGACGAGCGGTGTGTATAACGTGTAGGTATACAGTTGTGCTCCAACTGATCGAATGAGACCCGGGTGAAATCAAGTTAGTCTTTAACTCCGCAAACGCGATGAAAAGGAGCAAAAAGCGCGTCGAGCGTTTTTGCCACAGCTTTCGCAGGGACTGGTGATTGTTTTTTAATTAAAATTCGATAGCTAACTTCATTGTTTTATTGTTTCGTTACCACGTGAGTGTACATTTTACGTTCGATCAGTTAAGTTAATGTTTGATTAGCATACAGCTCTGATCTAAGGGAACAAAATTTTCCTTACATTTTTTCTCCTCATTTTTCTTCTTTGCAAACGTACATATTGTTTTTGCCTATGTACCTTAGTATTTGAAATGTACCAATTTGGAAATGTAGACACTCTAATGTTATTAAAAAAATTGTAATTTAAAAACCTTTTTTTTTGCATAAAAATGTATGCGTCATATTTATGATAAACGTGCTAGATATAATAGGATCACAAGAAACAATTACAGATTACGTATGATTTAATTCAATATTAATATTCATCAGACCCACTTTTTCGACTTACTGTTTCCTCTAAAACGATAAACAAATCGTAGTAAATAATATCATCACTCCAAATAATTTTCGTATCATATATTGCTACAATTAAATGCAATCTCGAACGCAATTGATTTTTTGAGTAACCCAGTGAACAAATCATGCGATCTGTCCTCAACCAATGACACAACAAATCAAAAGACTTTATAGTTACGTGGCCATTCATCTCTCAACATAGGAAAAAAATGTGTATTCATGACTATCGTTTAAATCACGAAACAATGATGTTACGGCAAAAAGAAAACAATGAAAAAAAAGTACTTGCTTCGAACCTGGACTATTTTCCATTACTTTCTTAATTCCTGTTAAATAATTTATTTCTATACAAAAGTGATTTTCCTTTTTTTTTGTTTGAAACGTGCTAATGATTATTAAATCAAAATTATGAATTAAATAACAAATTAAAGTAAACATATATGTTTAATTGTCAATTAATATTAATACTACATGAAGGCCCACAGTGAATGTTTATCATAATTTTTCAACTTTTTTCTGTTGCAGGTGAGTCAAACACTGGCTTCTTGGTTCAGCTCAATTTTCGTAAGTAGGTTTAACGCAGCACCACGAAAAATCGAGCTTTTCTTACAGCAAACGGTATGCAAATCGGGACAAAAATTATACATCGTGTAATTTATGTAAAATATTCGACCGAGCGGGATAAAGTTGGCCCGAAATTTCGAGAAAGTTTCGAGCCCCGTGGAAAAGCAAAGTCAAAGGCTCTCGGTTGGTGTTTAAAAACCCACTTTGCCGGGCACAAGTTAAAACTCGAAATTTCGTTACAAGTACAAAACTCCCATACTTAATAACCTCTAGAAAAGTCCCTGCAAGTAGAAATTAGTAAATTCGTGAAAGACGTAACCAGCACGATGATGGCAAAGCCCAAAAATCCACCCTCGAAAAAAGAGACGCGTAACAAATGGAAGGGAAAAAATTTTTTCGGACAGAGTCCCCCGTCAAGAGGACACTGCAATTTTTTACACTCCCCCTTACAACACGCAGTAGGAAACGCGAGAGTTGGTCTAGCGCGGAGTGCACGCGAGCCAGACAGATCGGCGTGATGAGTCTCCCAGGAGAGAAACCCCCCCTTCGCCAGGCTCCCATTGTGGCGGCCCAGCCCTTTGTTTCCACGTTATTGTTACACGCGTGTCGGTACAAAACGCCAGCGCGCTCCTTTTCACCGTACACTCCCTCCGCTCTTATTCCGTTCCGCTCAAATTGCCCGCTCCTTTCTCGGTCTGCGCCCGACCCACCCGAGGAGCGCTGCTTTGCTGGGATGTATAAAAATTCATTAAGCCCCTCTCGGCCGGGCTTTTCACTGCTCCAATTTTTTAATGTTTTTATTGCGGCCCTGATGGAGAGGTGCTCCGCCGCGTCTCGCTGGCTTTCGGGGAAATTTCGCCAAGCAGGGTTGCGTTGAATGGGGCTGAGTAAATAGCAACGCGGTAATGAAGCGTTTCAACTCTCGTGTTTGGTCGGTACCGAGGGAAGGGCTCGCGCGGAAGGGCGCTCGGTTTTATGTGAAAATTGCTCGCGCTGGGCAGATTATTCCGGAAAAGTATCTTACTCGCTAGCCAACAAAAATGGGGGAGCGAGGAGGGCTCAATAATTACTCGAAATCCAACTCGTATGTTAACTGTTCCACGAAGTTTCCTTCCTTGATTTTTCGTTTGCTCTTTCGATCAAATTTCTCCTCTGATGGATTAATACTTGCTCATGGGTTTTTTGCACTATCCAATATTTCTCTAATAAACCAAAAAACGAATTGCCCAATGGAAAATTCCGGATTTCCTTCATTGATTCACTGCAAAAGTAAACATGTCGAAATTAAATTTGACAGAGTGAAAGTTGGTTTAAAAAAAAAAAAAAAAACAATTTTCTCGAATAGTTTTGTAAAATGCAAAGTGACGTAATAAATAGCAGGGTAAATAAGATTTCTTACGATTACGCGTACGAAGTCTCATGGAGTGCGAATTGACTCGTACGTACCCCTCCGTATTATGTTCCTTAAGGGTTAGTAAATCAAATGGGATGGCACGCAAGCGCGTTCAGAGGAAATAATAGCCTCCATGGCGATAAAAATATCCATCTTAAGTACGTTGCCCTGGATCTTTTCATCTTGACCAGTTACCTGTATTATAGACGTAGAATCGAAACTTGGCAATACCGCCGGCTATTGTTAAGTATACTTATGTATGGGGTAAAAGAATATATACTAGATACAGCTGATCGCTGTTTATTATTAGGTATTAGTATTCAAGTCAAGTGTCATGCCTCCCGAAAGATACCATTGGAAAGGAAAATATGTGTCCAAAAAGGTTTACGAACACATGTTGCGGCGATCAGAGAACGGTAGTAACATTTTGACCTTTAAAAGGTAAACTTTTAAAAGAAATGATGCAAAGATTGGCCGAGTCGAATTTCAGTTATCAAAATTATAAAAATGGCTCAGAATGTGCGACTCACCTTTTAGAAGGCAGAGTAAATGGATCAGCAACAATTATTAAAAAAAGACTGATTCTCGATAATATTCTCAATCACTCACTGTCAGTCACAAAAGTACAAAATTAGATTGTTACTGAAGTTATATCATTACATGCGTAACTTCGAATGTGATACAAGAGTTGTATAAACATGTTGAGAAATAAAAGTGTTTGTTGCATTGGCACTGATGCAAGTAATGTTATGTAAAATTTATAAATAGAGAAGCAAAAATTTTTATAAAAATTCGATACCTTAATTTATACATATTACACCATACCCCCGTGATAAATACATTTGTATTTGTCAATTATTTGGAAATGTAGACACTCTAATGTTATTAAAAAAATTGTAATTTAAAAACCTTTTTTTTTGCATAAAAATGTATGCGTCATATTTATGATAAACGTGCTAGATATAATAGGATCACAAGAAACAATTACAGATTACGTATGATTTAATTCAATATTAANAAAATTCGATACCTTAATTTATACATATTACACCATACCCCCGTGATAAATACATTTGTATTTGTCAATTAATAATTTTTTATATTTTTTAACACCTTCTATAATAACTTGCTGTAGATTCAGTATCGCACATGAGGTACATTTGAATGTGCCGCCAATGTCTCGCTCTCTCCTTCGTTTTCTCTAAGATACGGTGTTGCTACGTTAACCTTCGAACATCTTTTTTCGTTACTATTTTCATTGATATCTTAATAAAAAGCATTATAACATGGCTCTAAACTTTGAGGGTGGAATCATAAAATATTTTTTTAATTATTAACAAAATATTTCTCACTTGTGTTATTTCTAACAGGTTTTATGAGGTTATTTCAATCGTTGTCCCATAAGAACAGTGTTGAACTGCTTATTATAGACCGCATATTTCTCTTTTTTTAGTATTATAAGGTATGCCCAAAAAACGTGTGCGTGTTCAGAATGGTTTAATCTATCATACTTTCGAGTTTCATCAAGTTCTGTAATCATTTTCATAAACAGAGCAAGGTCCTTAAAGGGAACTAGTGTACATATCTGTGATTTTTTCCTTCAGCTATTCATTTCTCAAGTATAGAGAAATAAAAGCTCTTATGAAGGGGGTCTCATAAAATTTTTCGAGACGCAAGTAATTCAATCCCAACGTGTACAGCCTAAACGTCAGCCAAGCTCTTGGCTGAGAGGACATCTTCAAAAGTCTTGGTTTTCCTCGCAGAGGCCCTCTTGCGGTCTGTGATTGATTAAAAATGGCGTACAAAATCCGTGTGGCCTCAAAAGACCAAAGAAAGTTGGAACGACGAGTCCGAGTGAAGTTGAAAAGAAAAAAAAAGTCAAAAGAGGGTGTGACGCTTGTGTGGTACACCTACAGGCAAACTCTCGCCACCGCGGCTTCTCTCTCGTCTTGGATAACTTTGACGGCTAGAAAATTTCCACCGAAAAAATGAAGGCTATCGCGCGGGCGTCAAAGAAACTTTGCTTCATCGTAAAACTACTCTCGCGGCTGCCACGGCATCGTCCCCGAAAAAATTTTTCCGCTCAGCGCTGTTGGAAAAAAAAAGGGTGGCCTGCCCAGTCGTACGCTGGCTTACCGTATCTTGTCACGGACGGGTTGAAAGAAGCAAAATTTACCGAACGAGAAGTAATGACAAAGACAAGAGCCTATACATATGCGTTCGGAACGCGGATCTTACAAGTGTTTTTCTGATATCGCGTAGGAGGAGATTATCTTACGACACCTGTGAGTTAACAAACTCTAACGCAAAGGTATATAGTGCTGGACTAACTGTGTGGGCCCAGGCGCCTGCCAACTGAAACTTCGTCCCTGATGGATCCAACCAGGGAGGTTCTGCTCCTTGGAGCATAAAAGGAGAGTGAAAAGCAGGACAGCGAGGGTCAGAGTGGCTGGCTATTGAGTCCATACTCACAAATGATTGCTTAGCAACCTCAAGTATAGAAGAGAAGATAGGAAGCATTACAGCCATGTTTTAATATACATATAACATGTGCCATAATTGTAAGTTACCCATGACAGTACAGTTTTTTGGGTGCGATCCACTACTCTGTATCGATTCCATTGACTCGTGCGGTTTTGTTTTGTTTTTTGAACTGAGCGACATAACAAAGTATTTTGCAGTCGAGGCAATGTTCTAGAGTGATTGATTCCTTCAGTACTTTGGCAGCTTATTTATTGTGTTTATTCTGACAGTTCGTTTCTTTATCTTTTATTGAAATTTTGTATACCCTAGTTATGTGTCAGGGACCAAAACATAATTTCGTGAAACAAAGTCTGTGGCGCTCAAGCGATATTCACGTTCCGAATGACATTATCAAATATTTAATTTGCATTTTCTTTTAATTGGATGAACAATGAATAAATAGCCATGTGGACCCTACAAAGCGACATTGAGTTATTCGATCACACGAGAAATTAAAGGGATGTTAAAGGGATGTTGAGAACAAAGCACTAAGCAAACGGGAGAAGCGAATTTTCTTCAAACTGACAACTCTGGAAAATAGAATTCAGATGGAAAAGAGAGAGCGGGAGGGGGGGGGGGTGCGCTAGTCTTGGGACGCGAATTTCCCAATGCGCTCGAGCGGAAAGAAATGCCGTAGCTCACGGGCGGGCATACATACCTGTCGACGATTGCATAGCTCGCAGCGGCGGAATATTTTGTCGGGGCCTTTCCACGCGTGAAAACGACGGTGGCAAAAAAAAGACTTGGAAAAAAAAAGTGAAATCTCGTTGCAGGCGAAACAATGCATTTTTAAGAATCAACGAGTCACCCGAAAATGTCGTCCTTCTCAACTAGTTTTCAACCATGTACAGAATTGGGTTGACTCGCTGCTGCACCATACCTCATTTCTCGTTCGATATAATCCGCAATTTACACTTTTTTTCGCTGCGTTTCAATATACCAATATATTTACAAGAGCAAATATCGCTTCGTTGGCTTCGTGCAGCAATTTAAAACAACGCTACCTGCAGGGAAAAATATGTCGATGCACGGAGAAATAAATAACTGTAATTTTTACCGTGAAAGCAACTGTAAAAGTGTGACA